GAGAGTGTCCGTCATTCGTACGTTAGATAGTTTAACCTAGAGATTCGCACACATCTTGTAAAATCCCCATGTTTGTCATCGTACTCGTTTTCGTCCCAAATCTCTCGTACCTCGCTACTCAATTTAAGCGTTAATTGGACCAGAGAGTGTCCGTCATTTGTACGTTAGATAGTTTAACCTAGAGATTCGCACACATCTTGTAAAATCCCCATGTTTGTCATCGTACTCGTTTTCGTCCCAAATCTCTCTTACCTTGCTACTCAATTTAACGGATGGGGAAGACCGGGGATGGCGAACCATCCGAAGAATTGTCAGAGACCCGAGAACTGGCCAGAGACGGAGTAGAGGACCCTGGGCCAGAGCCTGGGTCCACAGCATTGCTATGGTCCGAGGTCGACAGCGTCCTTGCTGTGTGGTCCGGAGTCACAAGTTTCCGCCGAGAAGCAGCAGTGGTGGTGTCTCGAGGCGGAGGTTGGTTGGCGATGGCCGTAGTAGCCCGAGGTGGCGAGCTTGGTAGGGGTGCCGTGAGCGGACTTGACTTGACTGCTTGCGCTGGAGTAGCCGGCGGAGTTGGCTCCTTCGCGGCAGAATCGGAAGCTGCTGACTCTGGCCTGTCCTGGGGAAAGGGAACCGTGGCTGCAGGTTGGGGAGGCACAGCCGGCTGCGCCGCTTGGCTCAAAATAGTCTGTTGCAGGAGACGCAGAGCCGCAAGTTCGTTGGTCAGAGACTCAGACCGAATTCGTTCAGCTTCCAAAGCGCTACTCTTTTCAACCAAAAGATTCTCCTTAAACTCAATTTCAGTGATTGCCGCTTCCAATTGGCTATCCTTCTCCAGTAACTCATCCATGGCGCCTGCTACTGTAGCTCCATCATCGATATCTTTTGCATCAGCCATTTCCATATCAAATTCCAGCTTAGCTTCGGCGACGTCGAGTGGGTCAGACCCAAATCCATCAAGGAAATCGATAGCTTCGTCAATGCCTTGTAGGGTTTGGTCCGATGGTCGAGCCCGTAAAGTCTCTAAGCACCACACAAGTTCCTTGCGGCGTGTCGTATGGATCAGAGACATGGACAGCCACTTCGCAATCACCCTATTAGCTTGAGTAGTCGTCAACTCCCCCAAATGATGTGTAAAGAATGGGACCAGTCCATTCAGAACATTAGTTGCCAAGGCAGCATATTTCAGCCTACTGATGAACAAGTAGGTCCCTTCCATCTCACCTGGTAACACCATGATGAACAAGGGACTAGGAACGTTGTTCTCCAAGTCCATTTTTCTCTTCCTCTCCGCTTCCTTCGCACGGCGCTGCTGCGCAGGAGTGAGAACCGGACCGTCATGCTCCAGAGTCGGTGCCACGGCAGACTTTGGAGGTTGCTTCTTGATCTTTGTCTTCCCTTTGACAGTCACTTTGGTGAACTTATGGGAGATGTCCTCCAGCAAGGAGTCATCAGAATCGGAATCCGAGTTCACATCCGCAGCTGCCACCTTCTCCGCATGAACAGGTCGGGCTTTGATAGAAAGAAACATAGACAAACAAGTGCGAGGACCAAAGGCTTTGGTAGTTGCCTGTTTCAGCATCCCTGGAATCTCAACTGGACAATATTTGGCCTGTGTCAGTTCCACGAAGTCGTTATGCTTTGAGATCATAGTGAGATTCTCATCCTTAACCGGACCCACGGCCTTAACGCTGATTGTCCCGTTCTGAGCAGCCTTCCAATTGCTAATGTAATGTGTGACCGCGCACCATGGGAAATCTTTCTTAGGAGTAGACGGGTGCAGCCATAATCGTAGTTCTCGATCCGCTCGCTTAGCGTCCCTCGATCTGACGTAAACGTGCCACATCATGCTTCCGGGCGATCGTTCATTCCACTTGCTGCGGCCGCTGTAGGGAATGTTTACCCATTCGTACCGCAGGCCGATAACCGTCTTCCAGTCAAAGTGTCGCATTAATTCTTTCTCCATAGCCCTGATGTTAATTTCCTGTGGATAGAAGCACAGAGCCCCAATCTTTTCGATATCGCCAAACTGTAGAACCGATTCATAGCACCCCGCTCCATACCCTTGCGGACGCAATTCGCCGTGTAGATATTGGCGAATCGTTCCTGCCGCCACCTCAACCTCAAAACCCACTCTCATCCTTGTGCGGAGGTTCTTTTCGCCTGGCTTATTAGAAGTCAAGGCATATGACATGTTGCCGAAAGACATGTCCAGATACTTGGACAGGCTCCGGTAATCTGGAATCAGCCGTCGAAGATCCGCCTCCGTTCGAATCCACTGCTTAGACTTCTTGTAAGCACTGTCAGACAAAGGAAGAAAGCGAATCGTCTCCTCCGCGTTCTTTAGGACGTCTGCCAGCGTATCCAGAATATGGTTCAAGATAATAGAGGCATGGGTCGTGTTCCCCCCTTGTTGGCCTTGATAGCTGTACGCCATTCCCAGTTCGACCAGGATAGCCTGACCTTCCATGCCGTCCAAGTTGACTTGTCGCAGCCCATCTAGGCGTTCTTCCAATGTCAAGCTGCGTTGTAGTCTTCGTTTGGCCTTAGAGCTTTGCTTCGTGACTGTGGTGTCCGTTTTTTGTGCGGTTGGTGTGGTTGATTGTGAAGCAGACGCTGAATGTGTCCGTTTAGCACTGGGTTCACTCAAGGAGCTCCCGTCCACATCCATTTCTGTAGATGGAGCGACCACCGAAACCCTGTGGGACCGTCCCTTCTTCCTCGGCGGAGATGCCAATTCAGGGTCCTTGTCTTCACCAGTAACACCGGTCAGTTCGGAAACTGCCTCATCCGTATTCAGGCCCATGTTGTTGTTGTCTTCGTCGTTTGCAGTATCCGTAAGAT